TTTTTTTTTTTTTTTTTTTTTTTTTTTTTTTTGTAGTGGAAGTGCGATGAAGAGCGGAAGGAAGTTGTGTTTGGAAAACATTCTGTGATTGAGTGAGAATTTGCAGTTTCCGACTACGTTTTACTGTCATTTCATTTCGGCACTTTTTTTGCGCTAATTTTTGTAGTTATGGCACAGTCTTTTACGAAAACCGATTATCCACTTCATAGAAGTGCCAAGACCTTAAGTGATTTATACAAAGGTTTTTTTTTTTTTTTTTTTTTGTCTAAGTTCACATTTATAAGACAGATGATTGCACGTTTTATCTCTAAATACTGCTATCTGAATAGCTGAGTTAATCTTTCAAACTGCAGTAGTTGTCAGCAAACTTATGACTGAGATTTGATCTGTTGATACTGTTTACTGTAAACTGGAACATTGTAAAGATCATTGTGTAATCTGATTTCATTAGATGTACGGGCGAAAAGAAAGTTGACGTGAAGTATTGGCTTAGTTTTTAACAAATAGGCCTATCGTGTGATTGTTTTGCGTATATTTGACTGAGCGTGTCTCTGCCTGTGTGTGCGTGTGTATATTTAAAGGAGAAAATAAGATTAGTGGATTTGTAAAAGTATCATTAAGGGTATTGTTTGGGTGGCTTACGTATCACTTAAGATGGACATTAACAAATGTTGAACAGATTATAAAGATGATGATGATGATGATGTAAACTGATCTTATATTCTCAAAACAAAACAACTGTTTGGGTGTTAAGATGAACCATGTTGCGAGCACGGTGGTTTTTAGTGTCATTTGTACTCTTGAAGTGAGAATACCTCCGAAAGCTGTCTATATACTGATGTACAGATAACTACTTGTAGATGGATAGCTAGTTGTTAGTTTTTTGATGTGTTGTTCTTTTAACTTGTTCAATGGTTCCTCGATTTTAACAATTATACTCAGGGTACTATCTGCTGACTTCAAAGGATCATTTCGTCTACAAATTGTTGGTTGGATATTGATTTTCTGTTTCTTTTTTCTGTAGTTTTTCAGCAAATCTTTTTAATTGCATTATTGCATTGTGTTTTTTTGGATGGGTTTGTTTTGTCGTTGGTGAATGAAAAATACAGGCATAAACATTTATTGTATCATATTGGAGTGGGTTTGTTGTTGTCGGTGCTGCCATTATTGTTGCTTTAAAAAGAAATTCTTTTTTTAGGAAGGATTTGGAGGTCCGAAGTTTTTAGCGGCGATAATTTTGTTTGGTCGTTTGTAATGTAAAGGAAACGTGTTCAATAATACCTTATTGATTGCTGTAGCGAAACTTGATATTTGGTACGTTTGATAAAGTTACCATTGCAGAAAATGTTTTCTTGGGAAGAAAAGAAAAGAAAAGGGGCAAATTTTATTCTTTCAATCAAAAATGCGATTTTTAGTTTCGTAGGATTTTTTTTGAGTTTTTTAAGCCATATTTTTTTTGACTGGCGAGAAGTCAGATTTTTGATGGAAGAGAGAGATTTAAGCTTTGTATTGAAAAAGGATTTTATATAGGTTTTTATCGTGGATTTACACGTTGTGGTTCTTTCTTGCTTATTGATGGTATTGGTAAAAGCATTAAAAAAAGTTTTGAAGCATAAAATATTTTTAAAAGTTTGTTTGATTTACGTTAAATGTTGCTTGCAACTTTTTTTCTTTCATTTTCTTTTCTTTTTTTATTTGTG